TGCATCCTAAAAGAAAAGCATTTCCCAGAAGAGAAATTCCACAGTAACAAGAAAAAACTCAAGAGCACTGGTTTGATGCCATTCCAAACACCCTTCGTATGGAAAAAAAGAGTCCATGGAGCTCAGGCATGGCTACAGCAAACACTGCTGACCAGAAGGCTTTGATGTGCAGAGGAAGAGTGGAATCCCCCATGTGACAGATGTTTTACGGTCATTTATATGGGGAAGCAACGTATATTCACTGGGGACAGAAGTGCTGAGTCAGGGATAGCCAATCCAATTGGTCTGCAGCTGCCAAAACGTATTTGTATAAAGTTGGGAATATGTGATTAAAAGCTGTCTCAGCCATTACTGTACTCTGGTATAAAAAAAAAAAAGCTTTAATATCCATTCTCAACCTGTTGACTTAAGCAGTAGAACACTTTAACTGATAAATTTTCATTATCTGAGACATTAGAATGACATTAAGAATTATTTTCTAAATATCAAATACAAGTTTTCAACGGCCTTTGGCTACACCAGGAATTATAATTCAGAGAATAAGGCAGMGACCACACAAGCAGGGTTGGAGCCTGATTCAAACTGATCAGTCATATTTTTACGGCAACCTTTTAAAAAAGAGAACACAAATAAAGTAAAACAAATCTTGTTGTTTGTTTTAAATTGCACTTGAGCAAAGAGTCTCTGTGTGCCACAATCCAATTTCATTGCTCACTGTTTTCCAGCAGCCATCAGTGGCAAAACAATGCAGGTTTCTTYTAAGTTAATGCCTTTATTTGGTGCAGGAGATTAAAAAATAATGATAATAATCTCAGGAGAAGAGAGACTGAGCAGGTGACTCAAAAATGAATGAAATTTTTATGATATTCAATAAAAATGCATCTCTTGTTTACAGGCAGCTTCTGCCATTAATTTGGTGCATTCCTTGTCCCCTGTGCTTACTTTTCAAGAAAGCCACTGTGGCACTGCTCACAATCCTGCTTGGAAAACCCCAAACAAGCCAGCTTTAGAATTGCTGCACAAGGTCATGTTTGATCACTGGGGAGGACAGAGATCCTGCTATTCATCCCGAGGGTGCTGGGCCCGGCACATCCAYGGGCTCTCAGCTCCACTGCCAAACAACAGCATTCAACAAGGACCGATTGACATCCATGGACATCAACCACCCCTTTGTTCCCCTGTGCAGAGCCAAAGATCAGTTACAACTCTGGGGCACTCGGATTCCAAAACACAAAATCCCTGGGAATGGTTTGGGTTGGAAAGGACCTTAAAGCTCATCCCATTCCTCGCCCCTGCCATGGGCAGGACACTTTGTGTTGCTCCAAGCCCACTCCAACCTGGCCCTGAACACTGCAACATTTCCCCTAAACCTCTCCAATAAACCTATTCAGAGTCATTAATAAATACCCCAATAAAACAGGAAATCTCAGGADGGAGAGCAGCAGTAAATTATCCCCCAAATCCAACTCTTGTTTTCCAAAGTCCTTTCAGGACACCGAGATCCACACAATTACACACAACCAAATGACTGGATGTTCTGATGCAACCAAATTCCACAAGTTAAGCAAAACAGGCCAGTCTTACACTTTTCCAAATACTTCCAGAAAACACCACGGACTGCAGAAACATGTGCTTATACAGCTGATGGTGTGACCTTGTTATCAACCCAGCCTTAAACAAATTAGGACTACAAAGCCCTACTGAAAAGCTGCAGGTTCACTCACAGGTCATGCTGGTGTGAAAAGCCATCCTGGAAAACATCTAACCACACTGGGAATTTACCTGGGATGGGATCTGACCAGCCACTTCCTAGTGCTGAGGTTAAAATCTATTTACAGTCTCCAGCAGCTTTTTTTAATTTTCTGCTCTAAGACCCTGGTCAAATATGTGTTTCTTCATTAACCACACACACACACACAACATCTATTTCAGCACGAAATAGATGCATTTCAGAATGCAAACAGAACAAATTTATGTCATTTTTAAACACTGCTTTGAGACTTTCATGTTTATGACCATGATGGGCAAACTTTTCCAGGAAAGCCAGATTAGAGAGGGAGTGGGGACAAAAAAATACTGTCAGCATATTATTAAAGTTCCAGTTCTCATCTTTGTTATTACAGCCTCTTTCACAAGTCAGTAATTCAAGATATCTTGGTGCAATGCTGTGAGGGATAATATTCCAATGGATCAGAACTGGTTTAATATTAATATCCTCTGTTAAAAAGAGAAAAAGTTTTCCCACCACGGATGAGACAACTAACAAGTCAGGATTGTAATGGAAATTACTTCCAAGACTGCTAGAGCTAAACTCAGATCTATTTACACAGGCTGTGAATAGACAAGAGTTTATTTACAGATGGTTTCTCCCCAGCCCTGAAATGCATTTTGGGGGAAAAAAAAAGATATTAAAACAACATCAACAATCCAGTACTTACCAGCAATCCTACAATCAACCATTGTGTGCCAYGTGACAGACAAGAGAAATGGAACCCACAAATACTGAGAAAACACATCTCTGTTTAAAACTGTTAAGCATGGTAGTAATAAAAAGCAAAGCGGGCAGGAGAATTTTGGAAAAGCCTTAAATATTCTTCTGTAACCTAATAGTGAAGAGAAATATTTGCTTAACCTCCACCTTCACCATCCAAAAAAGAGCCAATTACTCTAAAAGCTACCAAATGCCCCAAGAAGAATTTGAAGCATTAACCACCACCACCAAAAAGCATCTGAGGAAGAGGCAGAAGTCCCACAGTCAGAGAGGCTGCCTGGCTTGCACATCCTAAAAACAACTGTGCTGGAGACWCTGGTGACTCATTATCAGTGATGGAGCAGAGAAACCACTCGAAGAGGGGAAAATTCCATTTTAATTTAAGAGCACTCTCTAGCAAATCTTGCCCGAGCTCTGCAACATAAAAGCACTTGGATATTCACTAATAAATGCATTTTATAAACATTTCCGACAGCCCTCAGCAAGCACAAGATGTGTCACCTGCACTGAGAGTTACCAGGGACTAAGAAAAATTAAAGTACAATGTTTTTGTGTTTCTAATTAAAAAATGTTTACCTTGCTTTTAAAATTATCATAACATCAATGGCTTTAAAAAATAAGTTTGCTGGACATATTTGTCATAAGAGGCAGTGCCATCTGATTCAGTATTCCCTTGATAGAGTTCCTCCCTGTTGCAGGCCTTTACAAAAACAAAGAGCAAACCAATGACCTAGAAACAAATGCAGCCTCTCAAACTACTTTAAACTCATTAACTTTATACTTGTTTCAGACTCATAACAACGTCTAGAACGGCTGCCAAAAACTTTGATTTAAATTTGCCAGGCTGCGCTAGGAGAACGTTTGGGTTTATTCCTTATCTGAAACTATTTCAGGAGTTGAAGGCGCATTTTTCATAACCCAAAGAGAGGAGAGGGGGGGAGAGGGTTGTGGTTTTTTTTGTTTAAAGGGGATGGATGTGTTTACATGGCACGGARCAGAGCCATGCATCCAACCCAGCTCCGGAACCGGAAGCTGGATGACATGTCAGCACAGCTCTCCACTAATTACCAGGATAATGAGAAGCAGAATATTTCTTTTTCCACAGAGAGATGACACAAAAACACTTCCCTGCAACACAACTAGTTATTTCTTGTCGTGCTGCCCGGTTATTTCTTGTCGTGCTGCCCTGCATTGGGCAGGCACACACAAACAAAGCACCTCAAGGTATGCTGAGTTCCAGATTTATGACGGCTGAAATGTTCTTTTAAGGGATTTAGTGCTAGAATGCTTAGGAAAGAAGTTGGCTGAGCTATGCACAGCACTGTAGAAGAAGAAAAAAAAAAGAGGAAGGTAAATATGCACCACGAAAACTTTTGAAAATAACTCCCCGAGGTCATAAGTAACCATTTCAAAGGGGTGGTGGGAACAGGATCCATCTATAAAACTTCCATTTGAGCATTAGCAAAGAGCCCTCCCCCAGCAGGAGCAATTACTGCTGCCTTTCATGTGGCACAGTAACACACCTTCCCTTGCACGCTTGGCTGTGTCAGGTCTATTTTAAACACACTCAACGGCACTACAAAGGAAAACATCACACAGCCTGCCTCCCTCCCTCCCCATGCCGCTGAACACGCACATTGCCAAGCACAGGCTGAAAACTTTAGGGCTTTCTTTATAAACCACCCTGTCCTAAAAGCTGCTGAGCATCCCTGAAGAATGAGGAACATCCCTGATGCACGAGGAACATCCCTGATGTTTGAGGACAGGGCTCATATGAGAAGAACACACCACAGCCTGCACCTCCCGTCCCCCACGCCTGTGGTTCTGCTGATRTGTGCACCAACACGGAATTACAGAATCCCAGAATGGCTTGGCTTGCAAGGGACCTAAAAGATCACCCAGTTCCAACCTCCTGTCACGGACAGGGACACTTTTCGTATGCACCATTCCAAGAGCATCTACTTGGATGTGCTGAGCTAACTCTACCTCGTGCTGCAGCACCGTTCCAGCTTCTGAAGAGCTTTAATCTGCTTCTGCCTTTTGCAGGCTATTATTAACCTCGGGGATAAAGTGGCACCCTTTTAATCAGGTGCTTTAACTGGATGCGTTCTGCAAACAGGTACAGCCAAGAGACAGATATCCTCTACCTCCTTGGGCAGTAACGTGGGAAGCATCGCCTGCGATATTCATCAATTCAAACATCCGACAAGGACAATGGTAAGAGAGAACCTCGTCTGGTGCTGCAAGCRYASAATCCCACAATGGTTTGGGTTGGAAAAAACCTTAAAGATCACTGAGTCAAACCCCTGCTATGGGCAGGAACACCTTCCACTGTCCCACGTTGCTCYSAGCCCCATCCAGCCTGGCCTTGGRCACTTCCAGGGATCCAGGGRCACCCACAGCTTCTCTGGGCACCCTGTGCCAGGGCCTCCCCACCCTCACAGTCAATCCTTTTCCACACAAGTGSGAATCCTCCAGCTTCGCCAGAGGCGGCCCCCCCGCCGCTCACCTTGTACACGTCGCCGTAGGTGCCGCTCCCCACCCGCTGGATCAGCTCGTAGTCCTGCTGGGGGTTCCGCCTCAGGATATCCCCGCTGGATCGCGCCGCCGGCTCCATGTCCAGCGCCGCGTCCCCGCCGGCCCCGGGATGCTCCTAACGCGGCGGCCCCCGGCCCATGGCTCCTGCGGCGGCAACGGCGGCTTAGGGGGGCTCCGGCCGGCCCAGACAAAGGCGGCCGCGCCCTCCGCGGCTCCCGGGGCTCCCCGGGGCAACCAGGAAGCGCCGGGGCGGGCGGGGAGCGGGGCCGGGCGGGGAGGGAGCTGCGGTGCCGCCGGCGCTGCGGCCCGTCCGCCGGGGCGGCCAGGCCGGGCCGGCTCCTACCTGCGCGCCGCAGCCCTTTGTCCCGCCGGGGAGGGACGGAGGGAGGGGGAGCGCCGCCGCCTCCTTTTCCTCCTCCTTTTCCTCCTCCTCCTGCTTCTCCTCCTCCTTCTCGTGCTCCTTCCGCGGCCGAGCCGGGCCGGCTCCGCTCGGCTCGGGACGGGACGGGCCGGCAGCGCCTCCGCGCCGCCGCAGCGCCCCGGCGCGGCCAACGCCGGCCCCGCTACCCGCTCCCCGCCCGGCCCCGCTCCCGGCTCTGCCCCGCTCCCCGCCCGCTCCCTTCCCGGCCCGGCCCCGCTCCGGGCAACCGCTGCCATGGGGCTGTTACCGGGCGCTGCGTTCCCCGCGGCTGCCACGGGGGCCGGGGCTCAGGGAATCCCAGAGTGGTTTAGGCTGGAAGGATCTTAGAACTCGTACAGTTCCAACCTTCTGCCATGGGSAAGGACCCCTKCAACAATCCCAGCTTGCTTTGAGACGCGTCCARCCTGGCYTTSRRCAYTKCCAGGGATCCAGGGGCAGCCACAGCTTCTCTGGGCACCCTGTGCCGGGGCCTYCCCAYCCTCACAGACAGGAATTCCTTCCCAATATCCCATCCATCCCTGCCCTTTGGCAGTTTGAAGCCATTCCCTGTGTCCTGTCCCTCCATCCCTTGTYCCCAGTCCCTCTCCAGCTCTTCSCTTTAGGCCCTGGAAAGRGCTCTGAGGGCCTGGAACTTTCTCCTCTCCAGGTGAGCACCCCCAGCTCTCCCAGCCTGGCTCCAGCCCTCGGAGCATCTTTGCGACTCTTCTGACCCCGCTCCAAGAGATCGTCATCGTGGAGGGACAGGTGTGGGGACAGGCAAGGTTTTCAGCCTGTACCTCTTAGTCTCAGGCAGGGAGAAAGCCCCCGGCTACACCACCTATATATTCTATATATTTATTTATATCCATACATATGCCTGTACCAAACATCAGGCCAGGCTTTTTATCTTTCACACCAGAGGCTGAGATGCTCCCAGAGAGGCTCGAGAAGGGCAGGAAAAGGAGGAGGAAGAAAAGGAGGATGTAGGACTGAGCTGGATTGCAGCCTTGCAGCCACCTCGTGTAATCCTTCTCACGGGCTAATCAGGTACGGTGGCATTTAGCTTTGTGGGCAGCCAKTGCAATGAAAGTCACACCAGAATTACCTCAGACTTGTTGGGACTTGTGTCCCTGGGCTCCCTAAGTCAAAAAAAGCTGCTGTGAAACTGTAAAGTGGAAAGCATTTGTAGCTGCCTTTCCCAATTATTTTCAGCGAAGCAGCTGAAATTCTGGACAAAGCTCAGCTATGGKCTCTCAAATCAATGCCAAACAATTTAAGAAGCCCAAAGGTGGGGATAGGGAGTAGAGGAATGCTGGAATTCACAGTAGCACTTGCTGCACAGGAGAATCATTAAGGCCTGAAAGGAGGTGTGATTTTCTAGGCGTAAAAACTACCACATACTCAGCGCAGGAAATACGTCTGCAGAAGTTAGGTAGGAAAAAAAAAAATCAAATGTATGCCAGATGTACGAGTCTCTGGTGTCTAGGATTGGTTATTTCAGAACAGATTGTGCTTCTTTGGCAGCCACACAGCCCAGGCAGGTCTAACAGTCTAAATGGCAACGTAGCCAAGCACTGATCCTCAGTTTAGATGGGCTTTGAACGTACCCTTACATTTAGAAATCCCACATATAGTACCTGTAACTGGTGTGGATTGCACAAGCTTTTCCTTCAAACCACAGGCTCCATCGCAGAACTCRTTAGGATCTGTGGTGCTTTAGGTTAAACTCGAAGGCAAATGTGTGCAGACTCCCAGGAATTGCATAGTGGCCTTTGGGTTTATTGGGATTTATTTATGGGCTCGTTTGAAACAGCGCTGCAAAACGTAACCTGCCCCTCTTTCCAGAAACAGGGCAGCTCAGGGCTGCTCGCTTAAAGAGATTCCCATTTAATTTCCCCTCGTCCTCTCCGAGCCTTCCACATCCTGTATGTCCTTTCCAACATAAATACCTATGTTTTCCTGAACCCCCAACAAATAAGAAACTATTTACCCTTTAGGGAGCTGTATTTCCTCAAGTGATTTTTAACAAAGCAATTACCTCTCCCCTCATAAATCAGCTTCCTGTGCTCCCGATAGGGAGCTGTTTGTGTCCTTTTTCTTTTCCCTTCCTCAGCTGAGGGGTCGGACGCTGCTTTTCACTCTGCTGACTCGCTGCTCCTGACAAGCCATCGGATGACAGCACAGGAAAAAGGACATTTCATTTTCCAGTGGCAGATGGTGCATTAAGACTTGGCCTCCTAGAACATCTCTCAGATCCGAGAGGCTGCAATTTAATGCAAAAGCTCCTTGCTGGGTTACGTYTCACTTCCCACCTGGAGGTTGCAGTTTCTCATCCCATCTTGCCAGTGGTGAAGAGTGAGCTCTCAGAGCCCATCTCATGTTCTGAGCTTTAATCCACCTTTCCCAGCTGGATCTCAGTCTTTGCTGGAAGCACAACTGGGAGGTGTACATAGGTAAAAGCAGCACTGGGCCTGTCTTACTGTTACCATTTCATTATCAGGAAAATGCAGGAAAATGGAGGAAACTGGCTCAAGTTATGTCAGGGGAGGTTTGGGTTGGATATTAGGGAAAATTTCTTCAGGAATTGTTTGCCCAGGGCASTGGTGGAGCCACCATCCCTGCAGGGTTTTAAAAGCAGTGTGCATGTGGCACTTGGGGACATGTGGCAGTGGTGATCAGGGCAGTGCTGGGCTCGATGGTCTTAGAGAGCTTTTCCAACCTTAATGATTTAATTAATGATTCTAATGAATTGTGCAAAGTTTACAGGGCAAGACACGGGCCCTGTGCCCTGTCAGGCTGGTGCTCCTGAGCACACACCGATTCCCACTGCATTTTCCAGCCCAGACCACGCTGCTTTTCTGGTCAAGCGTGTTTAGGAATGTGCTTTTATGCAGCATCTTCCATCTGAATGGGTCCCAGCCTTAAAAGGAATGTTAAGTGGTTTTACATAAGGCATTAYGTGGGTTTGGAGAATGTGGTCTGTTTGTGTTGTAGTCTGAGGAGGAAGAACAGCCAAGGTTGTTTTAACGAGACACCAAGATTCACCAGGTAACGGTGGATGCAGAGCTGTAGAAATTTCTAACTGAACAAGACAATAAAGGTGGTTTTAAAAGCAGAGGAATGTGCTGTGCCTGTGGATGCATGTTCATTGGCAAATAGGACACTGAGGTATGAAACAGCAGCACAATGCGAAAACACTTCATCCCCAGTTTTTATCCAACTGCTAAAATATCTTTAATTTCACACAGTCTAACAATCTCCCGTGGAAGGTATTCAACACTGCTGCAGCATCTTTCCTATGATTTGGGGTTTTTTTTTTTTTTTCCCCTAAGTTTGTGGTTTATGTTTTTCAGGCTGGTTTTCCTCTCTGATGGGTCACACTGTTGCTTCTCCCATGGCCAYAAGTGAAGGGCCTGCAGGGGAGCTTTCTGTGAGCAGCTTTCCACCTGAGTCCAGTTCAGGATGCTGAACCTCCTAAAGCTTCCTGGCATCACTTTGGCAGCTTTCAGTGCTGTTAATGCTGTTTCACCTGCTCTGCTATCAGAATCTAGAATAAGAGGGATAGGGCAGGTTTTGTAGGATCCTGAGTGTTTCACGCTGCTGGAATGGCCCTTTGGGGACAATTGAGATGGCAGCAGATGTGGGCATGTGATGACAAGTACAAAAAATACTTGGGGAAAAAAAAAAGGTGGAAAGAGGGCGAAGTCTTGGCAAGATGGATGGAGAGAACACAGCTGAGGGCAAGAAGGAGACATCCAGGCCTGTTGAATGTTTCTTATGTCCAGCTTGGGAATTTTAGGAATTCACTTGYTCAGGAAAGCATCATAAACTGAGGATCTCTCCAGGATCTCTGCTGAGATGTTCTGGGAAGAGAAAAAAAAACACTAAAGGGAGCACAAAGCTTTTTCAGGAGCAGGAGAACTAACCAAGACACAGCTCAGCTCAGAGTGCAAGGATTTGTTTGTCACGGAAGGAAGAGGGCCACTGTGGCTATACATTATATTTGTGTCACCCCGTTTACGTAGATGCATCTCAGGGGACTTTGCAGCTGATTGTGCTGTCTGCATTCAAAGGAAGGAAACCAGCTGGATGCCCTTCCCTCCCACGTGCACGCACAGGAGGGCAGAGGTGAACCCAGACAGCAGTAGGGACGCAGGAAAATGCAGCCATTCCACAAAAAAAAAAGCATTAAAAAGGGGCATTCAGAGCATTGCCTGGAAACCTGGCTACTTCCCCCATTTCCAGGTGCACAAACCTGGCTGGAGCATGTTGCAAGCATCTTGCTTCATCATCCAGGCAGGTGGATTGGGTTGGTTCTGCCAAGAGGAGCTGGAAGCTTTTTCCTGGCTGAGGTGTATCTTCAGGGGGAAATCCTAGAAACAAACTTGGCACGCACAGATTTTGGCTTGGGCTTACTAAAGCCACGTTGCAAACGAAAAAAGAGGCTGGTGAGGAAGGATGTTTTTAATAGTGACCATCTGCCTGTCGGTGCAGGAGAGAGGGAACAAATTAAAACTGGTATCGGAAATGGATGCAAAGTTTGGCTTAGGAGAGATCTTGCTGACCTCTAAATTGTATAATCATGGAATAATCTGAGGATCATCCAGTTCAACTCCTGGCTGTGCACAAGACATCCCAACAATCCCACCCTTGCACCCCTGAGAGCRGTGTCCAAATGCTCCTGGAGCTCTGGCAGCATTCCCTGTTCAGTGCCTGACCACACTCTAGAGGAAGATCCTTTTCCTAATAAAGAGAAATAAGAAGTCAGATGGTGCAAAGCTGCCAAAGTGAAACCAGGCCTGGGTTGATGGTTCTTTATCTCCATGGGTTTTTTTTATTCTTAAGTAGTTCCTTCAGTTTACAGAGCATCTTCCAGAAGGAAGAGCCTTCACACTGATTGATTAAACAAGTCATTTAATTAACTGCTGGAATTCTGTCTCCTCCACAGTGAAATRCCTCTGCTGCAGCCCTAGCGTGCAATCGTGTTTACAGAAGCAGYGAAGATAATTCCTTTGGCTGCAAAGCCCATGTAAATGTAGGCGGTCACAGCACAATTCGGGGTGAGAAATGGGAACTGCAGGAATAGCAGGATTTCCTAAGCAACAAAGATCTGCTTCACTTAAAATA